TCTACAGAACTCTAAAATCATGTGGACTGCAATGTTCTGAAACAGAACTTCAGGCAGGATTATATTATCGGTGACACTGCCTGCTGTACCAGTATTTTCTTTTAATGATTTATTAAAAAACAATGTAATGTTACGTAGCTTTCTGTAGAACTCTTAGTCTGGTTATGATTGAATTTGCAGACTTACATGTTGAGCTTAACTAAAACTAAATTAAATGTACAGTCTATTCAAATAAACCTGTGTGTTTGTGTGGTTTATTTCTCGTAATAAATATTACTCATTATACATCTGTCACCGTAAGCCATGACTTGCAGCATGCCGTAATTTTGCAGTATTTTACGGGGTATTTTCATCCTACCATATAAGGAATTCCAAATATGAAATGATTATGTGCGTATGTGTCCTCTAATAATAAAAACAAACATGGCTGCCAACAGGGTTTGACTGAACTCCACACAAAGAAGTCCGCTGATTCTGTTCTAAACATTCTGGATTTCGGCATTCTCATGATGTATCCTTGGAAGGAAAAGAAGTAATAATAAGGTTATTACGAGGATACGTCAAAGTATACACTCAGACAGTACGTCGTTGCGTCGACCTTTGCTGTGCGTCAGTCTATACTTCCACTGTACTGTCTTCGTGCATACTTTGATGTATCCTCCTAATAACCACATACTATTGTCACCTGCTGTCTGGGTATGATGGCGATTTAATGCAACCAAATTTGAAATCAAAGACTCCAGTTTTCTAACGTTGTATAACAGGAGGTGTACAATGTTTTTTAGTTAACTGTATATTGTGTTGCTAGAAACTGACTAAAGAAAGATGGTAACACACGTGTGGACATTACAATAATCGGTGCTACAGAAAAACAATTACATATGTCTAAGTAATGAATCTGACAATAAATTACGTCATGAATGTTCTTTTATGAAAAACTGCTCACCTGCTGTTGGATCTGTCTCAGAAAACTGGTGCGTTCGTAGTCCTAGAGTGTGTCAGCTCTGCACTACCTTGCCATACCTGGGCACAATAAATTTCACTCTGTTCAGATATTAAGTGCCCGAAAGTTCTGTTAATGGGACTTTATTTGTGCTTTCCGTCCGCCCCGTTTCTCTTGCATCTCCAAAATTTTCTCAGAAATTCTGCAGCAGATATCGATGAAACATAGAAGGTTGATGAACAATAATATGTTAAATATGCACCGATTTTTTTTTTTTCACAATCTGAGAGCCCTAAGTGGGTCTTCAAGATTTACTCATAAATTAGCTCTCCAAACAACACTGACAGAACAACTTAACATGCTCAGAATAAATAATTAGGTTAGATTGTATAGCTTGGGTTTTCAGTGACGTCATGGCCTTGATCTGAATAGATGCTGAAATCTTGAAAAAAAATGGTCCAAATGTTGTATCTTTAAACTGTAAAATGTTGCATTCCATTATAAAGAGCCATCACTGAAATACCGGGTCACAAAGTTGAAGATCAGTGAAAACACTTTACAGTTACTGTTTGTAATCTTGGCCAGGCACATTGACACATAAGGTCTTCAGTTGTCAGCAGCTAGTGGAAAAATGGGTCGCACATTCCATGGCTCCACAAATTTCTGTATCTAGGTACAGCGCCACCAACGGCCGTTGTGGTCATAATGCGAGTCGCATGCAAAATTAAAACCAAAACATTTGGAAATGTGTTGATTCTTATTCAGATAACAGGGAAATTGTCACAATGGGTTAAAGGCTTAATATGCCATACTGGTCATTTTGGATTCTTGGTGAGGATGGGTGCGGCATTCTAAGATAAGCTAAGGCATAGTGAATGATAGTTTACACTGCCTTAAAATCTGGTTAAATTAATGACCGTAGTTTCACTGGTTAGCTACTTTCAAATATAGATCTGGACATCCTGCTAAGATTTTCTCAACTATGTAAATTTATCGCAAAATTATTGGAGGGGGAGGGGGTCCACTTTCATCACCATGGCAACTACCAATTCTAAACACCATTGTGCATGGGGGCAAAAAGTGCCATATTCTAATGTTCAGATTAGCTGCACGCTATGTTTATTAGTATCTTGGTCACCTACTAACTGTGGAAACAAAATCTCAGTCCAGACATCCCTAAAAGAGAGTAACCAATGGAATGAAAAGTCTGATTAACAAAATACACAAGAGAAAATTCTCTGGTGTCTTTGGGTAAACCAGGATATAGATTCAAATTGTTTGATATGAACTGATTTTCCCAGAACTGCTCAAGTTAACAGATGGTTGTTATTGCAGAATGCATGTGCGAGAGTTGTTTTGATAATAGTGGTTTTTTCCCCACAACCCAGTGCGCTGTCCCAGTGACAAGCATGAATGAGTTTTAATCTGGTCATGAGCATTGAATACAGACTCAAATGCAATACAATACAAACTCCTTGAGATCCTTCGACGCATTCCAATTATCCCAGGAATTACCCCGTCACCTTGATAGTCTCATTTCATACCACCAGCCTTTAACAGGTCTACAATCTCAAATCACCAGAGTATATTTGAGAGCTTGACGTCATTAAATTGTGATTGTGGGTTGACTAAAAGAAATTCTGGGAGGGGAGATTGTAGAAAAACTTTTTTCCTTCAAATTAGAGTTTTGCTCTAAATTTACCAGACCAGATGTTCAAATGGTGCACTCCCAAGTCATTCAGAGCTACATTGCAATACAGCAAAAGATTGGGTTTAACAAAGCTGCGAATAACCCAACGCGAAGTGCATACTGCCCTCTAGAGCAAAAATGATGTATGCATAAATTGGTTGGTACTTTTTGCCAGTCAAGTTTTGATCCAAATTCTGGCAACCAATGTAGTCTATTGAACAAATAAACTATGCTCTTCAAGTCAGTGTTCTCACCAGACAAGACATTTGACACATGGTTTACTTTTTTTCGTCCCAATTTTTTTTTACTCAGAATCAAATTGTCTCACAAAAATAGTGTTAAGTGTAGAATAAAACTGAAACAAACATTTGAGAACACTGTCTCCATTATAAGGGGAACAAAATGCTTCATTTCTGTCTAGTTCCACATGAATGAGGAATTGTTACATTTTCTAAACTGATGCAACAATTCTACGCAACATTTAATTCCTGGTGAAAACGCAGCTTGCCTTAGCATCATTCAACAATACACAGACAACACCATAGAAAAACACCAACAAATGTCTAGATAAATTCTCTGGTTTAATGTTTTATACAAAAAAAAATCAAAACAAGTGTCTTCATTTTCCAAAGGAAAAGTAACATGACAATAAAACAAAGTTTTACATCAAAATGATCACAAATAACACAATTAGGTAAAATAACAAATATATATTCTTAGGCAGTTTTCTAACTTTCCATCACTTGGGGCTTGATATTGCTAAGGTCACTAAGACACTACACATAAATTAGTGGTCAGCCATACTGCACTGCCATAATGCCCGATTTGTCAATGCTTAGAAAATGTTTGAGATCTAACACTGCCTTTACACTTTCCATGCAGTTATAGGCACACACTCCGCAACATAGAAAAATATTCAAAAAATCTAAGCGAATCAAATTCTAAATCATACAAATATGTAAACCTGCTTTGTTTCAGTTTCTTTTTTGATATTTAAATTAGTTTCCTAATATTTCTCAGCAATTGTGTGTCAAGATTTTCTTGAACAAGCATTGCAAATATGTGCGATTCTACATCTTCAAGGTTTTATTTCTGGGCAATTCTTTGTTTTACCACTTCAATAGGTGATTTTACCGTTCAACTGCGAGATGCATGAAGGACGCGTGTCGAACATTTGCCGCAAAAATCAAACGATTTGATTTTGAACCCGAACTTCTTTATTTCGTAGCTCACATCGACCGACCAATCTTCGACAGAGGAATATTGTTTTTGAATACCCTTATTTAATCGAAATTGTCCATCATCAAATGTGTGCCCCCCAAAATAATTTTGCGTTTGTCGAATCCCACGCAATGTTCGACACCACTACGACCTTTGTTTGACCTGTTTTTACGTTCGATTTCACGCATAAAGCCTGTTTCTCGCAGCGAACAGAAAATGGTCTATTGTACTAAACACAAATAATTGGGACGAAAATCTTGTTGACTATCATATTGCTGTTAAAGGATAAAGATGGCAGTTTAAAGTCTAATGTGATGTATTCTGTTGCTGTGCATTTAATAGCACTCCACAGTAACCTTATAGCTAAGGAGAACAGGGCATTATCATGCAAATAAAAATCTTATCACAATCTGCTGCACAGATTGATATATGATACTGTAAATCGATTTAATTTTGCAAAGAATTATCACAAAATTGTGGAGCAGTTGCAGTCTTTCAAAGCAGAGGGAGTCTGTGACTTTCATGAAATCTCATTCTTCAAAACACCCTTATAAACGGAGAACACTTCTGGCATTGGAAACGATTTACAGTCTTGTTGGAGCAGTTAAAGGATGAAGTGTTAAAGGCCCAATTTACTTGCCCCGGGCAAGTGTGAATTGGAGGTGTGGCTATGCTAATGAGTGTTGTTAATCACTTGTATAGCCTATGACGCATCCTGTTTCAGCGGTCCAACATGTGACTTTGATTGACAGTAGTTAGTTATGCAAGATTAGTAGCGCATCCCTTTCCTCGGTTCGTGTTTTTGACTTTTATCCGCCAAAATCTCAGCTCGTACACTATTTATTGTCATAAATACTACACACAGTCACTGCTGTGATATTCATAGTCACATGCATCCACTTTGGCACGACATAATCGACCTGCAAGTTCGAGAAAACGCGTTTTTACGGGAGCTTGGCTGGAGCTGTTCACTACAATGTGACAAGCAAGGAAATCATTCCTATTGTTTAAGAGCGTATTTATAGTATACCTGGGCCTTTAAAGGGGAACCGCTCAATCCCATGGATTGCACCAAAGAATCATGGGACACTATTGTTTATGTTGTTAACAAAGTTAATCTATCTTTTGTTATGTAGTGTAATTTTAATCCAGAACGTAAATTTGTTGTGAGATTAGGCTTAACTGGAAGTGTCCCTTTAAGTTGTACCACAGTAAGCTGTCCAGCTTCTGCTCAAAATATTATGTAACATTGATACCTTCTGACTGCCAAGACTGGCTGATGGCTGATGACTAGTAGAACGATACCACGTGATATGTAATTGTTTTTCAGAAGGAACTACATTATTTGCGCATCTGGCCTGACTGAAATAATAAACCACAATGGTCTGCATATGTTATGCAGTTAAGTCTGTGAGAGAGGCTGTCACGAAACCAATCTAATTGCAAAAATTGTCACTGGTTCATGCGATGTAAAATCACACAGCACTGCATAGGAATACTGGCGCCTGGAACTTTTCACTCATCATAACATGCCACAGATGGGTAAACGAATTTAACTTTGGCACAAAATCACTTCTCAACTGAACTAACAGCGGGGAGGGAGGAGTGAAAAAAAAAAATGTTAAATTATGATTTCTTATTGTAATACATACACTTAGTGCATATGGATATAATACTGTATCGTATCTAGGTAAGGCAAGTTTACTACTGGTTATTTTTCTTTTTCTTTATGTTTTGTTTTTGTCTTTGATTTTTTAGGTTTTTTATGCTTGTGTTTTTTTTTGTGAGTTTTGGTGGTACTATCCTCATCCTTTCCAGAGGTCTTCCTCTTCTTTGTTTTATGCTTTTTATGCTTTTTGTGTTTCTTATGCTTCTTGTGGCTCTTCCTAGTAGGACTCTGGCTTTGGCTGGATCTTGCAGTGCTACTACTCAAAGTGCGGCTGCGACTTCTACTGGCACTTTGTTCATCAACTTTTAGAGATTCCTCATCCCCACTTTCTGATTCACTTGATTCATTGTAATCTGGCTCAAAGTTGGCTTCGCTTTGCTCAAGATCTAAAGTGCCTTTAGGTGACTGTGATGTTGAAGGAGCATTGCTAGCCCCGGACTCGTACTCTTCTTGTTCCCATTTTGATACCGGTACAGTTATTGTGATAAGTTCTTCAACAGGAGTTGATTCAGAATTCTCCTGACTGTTTGAGCCTGTAGCATCCTTTTCTTTCTTCATTGTGACTTCTCTACTCCCCATATGAGCGGCACTGTTATCCAGTTCCACAGACAACCTGAACTCTCTCTTGTCCTTCAACTCGTCCTTCACTTTAACAACAGAAGAGATCTTCTCTCGTTTCTCTTCAGTCTTAACAATTTTACTTTCTATGGGTGTTGGTTTTTTACCCTTGATATGTTGAGGACTGTTAGCAGAGCTTGCACTGGAATAATCAACAACTTTAACCTTAGATTTCAAAGGACTCCTGATCCCGATATCATCTTTAGATTCTAATTTGACAGTCTTTTCTGGATTCTGCAATTCAACATTCTTAGCAGAAGTAGGCCTTTTGTCATCTGAAACACTCACAGTTTTTGTATCTTTCTTTTTCTGGAGTTTCGATACTTTCTCACTGTTTTTTATTAGCTCGCTTGCATCTGGTATGTCATGCATCTTTGGTGAAACTATATCAGGTCTGGCAATTTTTACACCCGGCTCATCAGGTAACTCTGCGGTGTCAGATGATTTTGAATGCTTCCTCTTCTTCTTAGACTTATCTTTCTTGATTTTCTTCTTAGGTTCCGTTTCCTCAGCCATTTCTACAACCTCATCGGTCGCTTCAGTGACTTTTACATCACTCTCATTTTTTGTTTTGCCAACTTTTTTCTTCTTCTCTTTTTTCTTCTTCTCTTTTTTAGTTTCTTTGGCAGCATTCACAATACTATCTTCCTTTACAGTTTGGGCACTGTCTACCACCTTAGAAGACTTTTTCACAGGTTCAGCAGACCTTTTTGATTTCTTACTGGTATGTTCTTTAGAACTTCTTGATGAAGATTTGGTGGTTTCAATATTTTCTTTCTGTTCACTCCTCTCAGAGTGCTTTCTCTCTTTTCGATCCCGGTGGTCCCTTCTTACTTGATCATCTGTTCTTTCTCGACTCCTTTGTTTATCTCTGACCCGATCATCTGGCCTAGCTAATCTTTCCGGACTGGCAGATCTAGTACGTTTTCTTGGTCTTTCATGTTCAACTGGAGATCTAGATCGTCGCAATGGGCGCTTAGCAAGTCTTTCCCTGTTAATTTCCTCCCTTCCCCTATATCCACCATGCTGTAAAGGAAGAGGTGATGGTCTACGTCTCTGTGGCGACCAAGCTCCAGCATCTAGGTGTGGCTGCATTGGCTGTCTATACCTGTCATCGGTGTATTGACGATATCTATCTTCATAGTATCTATCATAGTGCCTGGGATCCATTTGGGGATCAGGCATTGAGTCATAGGGAGAATCATACCGCGGATCAAGTCTATCATAATACCTGGGTTGGTCATATCTAGGTGCACGATCATCATACCCTCGCATAATCCTAGTATCATACCTGGGATCATAAGATTGTTCAGGCGGCATGGCTCGGCGACTCCTATAATATGGAGGAGGGGACCGTGAACGCCTGTCATTATAGTATCTGGTAGGAGGAGGTGAACGTGGACGTGGGCGGTCACGTTCACGTTCATAAGAACGAGGTCTCCTATAGGATGGTGGAGATCTCCGACGAGGTGTCCTTGAACGAGACCTACGTCTTGAACGTGATCTTGATCTGTATCTTGTTCGAGGAGGAGACTTGCTGTAACCACGTGAACGACTATGATCAGTACTACTACTGCTGCTACTACTACTGCTACTGCGGCTATGACTTCTACTGCGGCTGCTGTAAGAACTTGATCGGGAACTACTACTCGAGTAACTTGAAGACCAAGAATTTGATCTTGAACGAGATCTTGACCTAGACATCTGACGAAGCTTCTGTTCTTGTTTATATTGCAGCAATTCTCTTGCAAAATCATCCATAGGATCAGACTTTTTATACTGAGCTCTGAAAAAAACAAAAACAATTCACAATACCCATTAATGTTGACGACTGCATTAGTAGATAGTTCAACATTGGACAAAATATTTGCAAAGCCCCAATTGCCCAGTATAATTCCAATGAATCCAGAACACACATGTGCAATCTCTGACCAAAGCTGATCAGATTTCACAGATGGTGGAAACTTCAAGATGCACAGAAAAACAGGCCACTGGTCTTAATCATGTCATATATTGGATTGTTAAGTGAGGGAGGGGGATATTTAATTTGGAATGGCATTTACAAAAACACTTACTGTAGCTTCCTTTGTTCTCTGTAGAATTCTTCTTCACTCAGTGGTCTTGGATCTGGTGGATATATAGGCATTGGTGGTGGTCCAGGTAGAATTGATCCCGGTGGAGGGCCAGGCATAATATGTGGTGGCGGTGGTGGTTGCGGTGGAGCCATACCAGGCAGCCCGGACATATGAACTTCAGGTAGCAGTGGAGGAAGAGATGCTGGTGGTGGAGCAGAGCCTATAAGGGGTGCTATATGCCTGGGGGGTGGGCCATGGTATCCTGGCTGAGGTGGTGGAACTCTGGGTCTTGGACCAAGTGGAAGTGTTGAACCTGGAGGTGAAGTAAGTCCAGGTGGTAGTGGTGGTCGATGCCGTGGGGGTGCTGGTCCCCTAGGTCTAGGTTCATTAGGTCGGTGCCTCGTATACCCGGGTGGTGTTGGTCTATGAACAGGAGGACGGTCATTAGAGTAAGCTGACACAGGGGGTGGATTGTCTCTTGGGTAGACTGAAAGCAGCGGTGGTGGGCCATTCACTCTTTGTGGTGGACCAGTTCCTTGTCCTTGTGGAAGGGGAGCTCCCATCCTCACTGGTGGTCCTGTGACTGAGGCTGCAGCTGAAAAACCAGAGTTGAAATTCTTGTCTGATAGACAAGGTAAAAAAAAAACCTATTACCAACTAGATAATACATGCATACATTTTTGAACAGGCATTATCACAATACTACTTTAAAATGCAAACTATTTAAACATGATCACAAAATCAAGGAATTGAGTGCAGCGAGTAAAATAGCATGTCATTTCAGAAGAGAATAAAAGTCAAGCAGTACATGTATGTGCCAAAAAATTAAAAGAACGAATTGAAGAGAGGAAGAGAGAAGCTGCAAATCATTTACTACATTCCCACCACATACCACATGTTAATGCCAATAAAAATTATATATTGGATCAAGACAATCAACATAAATAATCAAAGAAAGCTTAGAAAGAACTCCCATGTGCTGAGAGTATTGGAGACACATTAAATATAATTCGAAATTACTTAGCTGAAAACTAATTATGCAAATCAGAAAATTAATATGACCAGATTTGAGTGTAAAACTAATGAGGTCTGCGCAATGTAACAGAAAATCTATGTCTCCAAGTTTAATTGAAATGTGATTAGAACCAAAAAATTATGAATTATTATGCTTATTAGGGAATTAATATGAACAGATTTTTACCCCAAACTAATTAGGTTTGTACATTGTCCTAGAGCATCTTTGTACTAAGTTTCATTGAAATGGAATAATTAGCACCGTGAAAACTCCAAAATTTCGACCCCTCTAAAAATTTGACCGCCTATTTATTTGCCGGGTTTCGGTGTTTTATTTACCTCCAAATTTTCGACT